TCCAGTTCCATTAGCTAGACAATGAAGAGGTAAAGAGAGGGCATTAACATGTCGAGACTTGATTTTTTTTGTCAAATTCAAGAATAATGTTTTGCTTTCCTATCTTTAATTAACATTTAACAAATTTGCTATCAGATATTATTTCACAAGGCACAAATTTTTGGAATAATTAAAGATTCCATAAGAAGAGCAGAACCATTCGGACAAGTGTCATTTAGTGTTACTGTACACTAGTAAGATCTTCATCAACTATGTTTGCCTTGATCTCTCTGCTACAGTGCACAGTAATTGGTGGAGTATTACTTAATTCTGCTTGAAGTTCCAGTTAAAGTATCTTTTTGCCTTCTGATTGACAATGCGGGGAGTTTCTTTGTAACTGAAATGGGGAAAAGGAATTAGTACATTTTCTAACCATTATGTACTTAAACTGCGGCTTCAGTTTGTGAAACCTGTGCTAGCCTTGCTCCTGTTGATACTCAATAAAGAGCCAGTGATATTACATCTTTAACCATTTTGCAGATATCTTAAAAAGTGAATATTTACTTTTTTAAAGTATTAAAATGATGGATTTATTGAATACAAAAGGTTGATTGTCAGGTTTCATAATGCCAATTAATTGAGAACTACTTAAGCAAGATATGTCCCCATAGTTTAGGAAAAGAGCAGTTTGGTGCCCTTGATAAAGACATCAAGGAGTAAAATTTTACATAGTTATATCTTCAAAATTAATGAATGTGTGTACATTAAAATATAACCCTCCAATGCAGCAACTAACTTACATTTTCATGAAACCACTGGGACTTTAATTTTACATTTTAATATGTTCTGGAATTAATTTTATCAAATTGATGGACACAATTAGCTGGAGTAGACTATTATTTTAATTCAATTGCAGAGAATTTTCACTTAGCTGGAAATTGAAATGAAAACTTAGAGTCATGGAATAAATTGTTAATAATTTCCAGAAGTATAGGCTGTTGTCTGCATATGCTGCCTTTAAGCAAGTACATCTGTATGGACTCTATATGCTGTGCTATTTCTCTCCTGGCAGTTGTTTTGTATTGGTTGCAAGCTCACAAATTAGTTGATTTGCTGTAATGTCTGCTTCATATATTATAACGTGTCTTACTGTTTTAAATAAACTAACTCACCAATTTAATCAATCCGTGATGATCAACTGATGATTAGAGCATTATCATTAACTTGATATTAACCTGCTGTCTTCACTACGTAATATTGGCCGATCTGATATTCAAATGACAAATAGGAGCAGCAATTCTTGTTTGACAGGGAAAACTCAGAGCAATTTTTATGGCAGGATGGCAGAGCTCTGTATTTTAGGGCTTACTGCAGGAGCAAAGAGGATTGCGACATGCCAAATAATTTATCCTTTACCTTTTGATCTCAATATCATCCATGAAGACTAAAGAGTTAATATTGCCATTTTGAAAAATTACGGTAAAATTGAACGACTTAACGTTGTAAATCTTGAATTTCACCTCTATAAATGGGTCATGTTGCTATCAGCCATTAATATAAATGACACTAACTGTGAATTATAAAATCCACAATTTATAATGTGAAAATATTTGCATAACGTACTGATCAACAAGATTAAATAGAGGTTGTTGTCATATTGTAGCAGGAAAGAAGTAGGATTAGATACTTCCCAGTGATGACCGGTTGACTTTCCATCTTATAGTCTTCAGAACATCTGAAGAAGGTTCACTGGACATGAAGCATTGCCCCTGTTTTCTCTCCACAGATGCTGCCAGGCCTGCTGAATTTCTCCAGAAATTTCTGTTTTTGTTTACTTAAGATCTCCAGCATCCGCAGTTCTTTGCTTTATTTATTATCTCATAATCTTGAAGGCTAGTACTCATTAGCAGTTGGCTACAGACAACTTGCTTAGGGCAGTTTGCCATCTCCCTGCCATTGTAATATTGAAAAGTACACCAGCCTTCAGCCCTGAAGACAGTAGTTTCTTGGTGGTGGCGACAGGGAAAGTGGAATGATTTAATGATAGTTCCAAAGGGTGATTTCATGGAGGTCAGAAGAGTTCAGACAATCCACTTCTAGCTATTCTAACATGGTGTACTTGTGTATTACATTTGTCTCCTGCCTAATTCAATGTGGGTTCCTGTGGTAGGCCACGGAGTATGCAACAGCCACACTGTTGGAAGGAATGGTATCATAAAATACTCCCCTCCACTTCAGAGCGCTATTGTTCTATTTTTTCTTAGTGAGAAGCCTCTACATCTCCCTTATAATTTGTAATCTGGGGAAGAATAATTTGTTTGACCTGTGACTAACAGTTGAGAAAAATAATTATTTAAATTGTAGCTGATTAATTTAAATGCAGTTCTGAAACACTGTCAGAATTGCAGTGCAGCAAATAAAGTGAAATTACAAAATAGAATTTAAAATTATTCTCAGATATAATCAATGCAAATAGAAAAGGAACACAAGACTAAAATCCACGATTGCAAATGTCGTATACAGAATTTCCTGTGCTAATTAATCAATATAGTCATGTTTAATAAATTGTTAGGCTATGCCACTTTTTCTGCCCATATGCAAATGTGTGTTCTCTTATTTCACTAAAATACTAATGTTGAGATATTTATGTGGGTTCAGAGTACTGACAGGTAGCTTCACTGATTTTTTTCCACCCATAAAATTTTGTTGCATTCTAATTGAGTAGAAGTGTGAGCAGTTAATGGTGTAATGAGGCAGTAGAGCATAGGGGTAAACAAACTATATGAGCAACAGGGTTTCTTCATAACTGATAAGATTTCAGGATTGAGAAAGAAAGCTAGAAAGAATGGAAAAGAAAATATGTAGTGAATTAGAGTCAAAATAGGTGCTGAAATAGAGGCAAAGAAAGATTGAATTATAATAAACAGAAATGAAAATGAGGTGAAAAAATTTGACTTAACATTTCCAAAACCTCTCACAATAATTAACTACAAGCACAAATGAATTTGAGTAGTTCAAATTCTACCGGTTCTGGGCTAAAGATGTTGCTTGGCAATGCATTAACTACTCTCACATCATTTAAAAAAAACAGTAGCTACACTCCATTTCATACTTCATTTCAGTAGCGAATTTAATGGATAATTAATATGAAAACCCAGCAAGTTCTTAGAAATAACTGGAAGATAAGAGCAAGATGTGGTGTGTAAAGCGAACAGTGGAGAGACATTAAGTGACAAGTTTATTGCTTTGAATTTGCTGGCTGGTTTACATGTTAATAACAGTGTGCATTGTTAACATGCTGTTATTCTTTCAGCAAGATCTGGCCCCATTTCTCTAGAGTTTCAACATAGTATGGCATATGATCTGAAGAAATTGCATAGAAATTACTGGCGTATATTTCCGTGATATAATAACTAGATTTGTTCCAAGTTTGATCCCAGGGTTCTGCTGTAACAGATGATCTGAAATGGGGCATGGCAATTGGCCACACTATTTCTGTGTTTTCACTTGTGCTTGTCATACAGTGACAAGTATGACAGGCTGCATTTTTGTCGATAATGAAGGGGTCAGCTTTGGCATACTCCACAGCTGGATAGCCATCCTGTCAAGAATCATACAGAAAAGCTGGTCATTTGGGTAAAGCACTGGATGGTGAACATCACTCCATTAGTTCCAAAATAAAGTCATTTGCTTTGGAAGAAGAGGATGAACCTAGAAGAGCAATATTATACATTGTATTAATGATTTCTGGCATTATTTCTTACCTGATACTGTTAACTCCATTTAAGTAAATATTTCCGCTAAACTAATATAAATAGAAACTCTAAACCACGTTTACTTTCACCAACATGTCCACTCATTCATTTATTTATTTATCACTATTTGGACACTTTATATCAGGTTACATGTTTTATTATACTCACAGCACATATATAAGTAGCATTATCTGCTAAATTTTAACAAGTTAAAGAAAACAATAGTTTAAAACGCTTTATGTTTCAGACAATATTGAATTACAATTAAAAGCATGTAACTAAAAATCACTATTAATAGTTCACTCTGAATATTCAAAAAGTGAATCCCTCTGTTAAATTTAGGAAGCAAGTCACGAGCTCAGCATGATTTGACTGCAGTATCATTGCTGAGGCATTGAGTGTGCTTGTTATAAAAAGCTGTAGGATTTTTGTGCAACACAGCTGACAGCAGTAACACAGTTAATGATGCCATCTTTTGATTGACAGGTCTGTTTTAGTCTCTGTGTGGATTTTGTTGTGGGATTGCACTAGTTATTTTCAGACATTTTTGTAAAGTTTATTATGTAAACTTAAACATTTACATTATAACTATCTATATAGACTGTGCAGTCAATTACAATAGCATCAAACATATTCAAACTTGATAACCAAATGATCTTGAAATGGCACTGAGGTTCTTTAAATGAATATTAATAATGCCAGCAGCTGATTAGCATTCCGAGGAATCAGTTTATGTATGTGTTATTAATCCTTTCAGATATGTTGTGATTCAAATAATATTGTTCATAGCCACTTCATAGACTCAGAATTAAATTCTATGCCTGTGACCTGGGACATATTAATAAAAAAGACTTGTGTAAAATTAGTAAATAAATCTCACTCATTAAGCATAAATAAAGCAACATTTGTAACATACACCCACAATAATCGATTGGTAACAGTTATGACATTAACTTAACAACTGTGGACTTTAGTTTACACAGAGACTACTGGCCATGTTTTGGAGGCACAACTTTTTCACCAAATTTGTCTCGCCTTATGGATTGAACCTACTGACATTCAGTATGTGCTTAGGAAGTTGAAGGCTACAAATAAATAGGTGACATATTTGCTGTTGTTCTGGTAAAGGGGCATATGTGGAGTAAGGGCAGATTGGATTAACAATATAACTCATACTGATTGTAACCAGTGTTGTTCATCATTTTTATTACAATAATTCAACATATCATGTGTTTAATATATAAGCGTATGTTTGTTTTTATACAGGAGAGTGACCTACTGACATTCAATATTTCTGTGCACCATTCCTGGTGGAGTGAACACGGTCCAGGCTGTGTCAGAAGAGAGATGCCAGCTGCCTATGTGAAAAGTTTGGATGGCCATTCCTATATCTCTGTGATGGGTTGCATTATTGATTACCAATATATCGAGGTTATTCACAGCTCTTCTCAAATATTGTTGGCAGTAAGTATGGCACTTAATGACTGCAACACACTTGGGTATTTACACATTGCATTTTGCTGCTAAGTAATATGGTAAAATCTCTTTGATCCTCTGAACAATATGAAAAAAATGTTTTCCTTGCAGTCAGAACTTTCCCAAATTATAGACAAATATCAAGAATTCTGTATATTTTTCAAGTTATCTGTCACTATTCGGTCATACTCCACATATGGGGTGGCACAGTGGTTAGCACTGCTACCTCACAGAACCAGGGACCGGGGTTTGATTCTAGTTTTGGGCGACTGTCTGTGTGGAGTTTGCATGTTCTTCCTATTTCTGCTGGGTGCTCCGGTTTCCTCCCAAAGTCCAAAGATGTGCAGATTAGGTGGATTGGCCATGCTAAATTGCCCCGTAGTGTCTAGGGATCGACCACGGTAAATGCAGGGTGGGTCTGCGTGGGATACTGTTTCAAGGGTTGGTGCAGACTCGATGGGCTGAATGACCTCTATCTGCACTGTAGGAATTCATGAGGTGCAGATAGAATAAAGTGCACTGTACAACTATATGACTCATAATAGCATTGTGTTATAATTATGTTATTTATAAACATTCTAAATCTTAAAACATTTATAGCAATAATCATGATTTCTTGCATCCAGTTTCGTGTGTTCTCTCTTGTTGTGTCAGATTCTTAATTAAATCAATATGTAATCATAACTCTGCTCTCTAAATAGTTTCTTGCAGCAGTATGATAAGCAAGAAATAGATTATTTTCTATTTAGTTAGTGCCATCCCTGACAGTTTGAACAGTGCACGTTTAATTGCCAGCTATGCCAGTTTATGCAACCATTTATCTTCCTGTTAAAACATTTCTACTTAATAAGAGAACAATAGTTAAAATTTTAGAAAATTACTGTCTCAAAAAAAAATTGCAAATGGGTTAATTTTCCTATGCAGCCTTCACAAAATTACTCTGAATATATATGTAGCTGTACACAATTATTTAATCCCTTATAACAACATACATTTGTATTCAGAGCCCCAATACAAATACCTTGACTGAATGGGAGTTGTTAATCAAACTGTGAACTGACAACCACTCCATTGTGATAATGATAGATTGTGAAATCTGTCACGCAGCACAAATCCAAAGCAGGAATGATGTGAGCTTCAAAGTAGGCACTAGGTGAGTGAGTGCTAAGACTCCAGATGAGTAGCTGTCAGATGTACCCTGACCGCATCTATGATTTGGGGACCTTTCCCTGCAGGGAAAGTGTTCTGGCCACAGCATTCCAATGATAGCTATTGATGCGCTCTAAAGTACAGCAAAGAAATGTGAAATGGTACTGTAAGTGGATCAGAGATATACTAACAGGGTGTGGTGAGACTGCTATGTGTTGGGGGCCAAGGCTCCTAGACAAGGGGTATGTGTGTTTCAAGCCCGTGGACAGTTCTCCGAGACATTTGTGCCTGATGCCCGTGATTGAGGTCCAGAGGAGCAGGTGGTGGGTTGGAATCATCAGATATCCATTCTGACTTTCATGCCAGGAATTGTCATCATTTAGTTTCTATCCAGTAGATGGGAGAATGAGAAACTACATATTAATAGGATAAGATTAGTTAAAAATAGGCTTCTTGACAAACTCAGTCAATGCATGGTTAGAAGATTGGGACTCTTTGCTCTTGACATCTGGATGCTTCTGCTTGGCCATCTCATATGATTTTCCAAACTTTCTTGCAAAAGCCACATCATTCTGAGGCTGGGAAGATTCTGCCCCCATGTGTCTGATTTTAATTCTTTCCCTGTAACAATTGAATACCTTAATAATGAACACAGGATTTTCCAAAATGTGGCCTAATTCATCGCTGAATACCACTGAAAATCAATCACTGATCGCATTGCTGGTTGTGAGATTTTGCTTTATACAAATACACGATGAAGCCAGACTTAGTCCAATAGCAAATTTGAGGACATTATTCCAATTTATGATGATAGTAGATGATTACTGTTAGGAAAAGTGAGTTAAGAATTAACTTAAAATCTACTAACATTGAAATATTGATGTTTTCATTAATTTTGATTCAAATGTACAGTAATGGAAATTAAATTAGCTACTCCTGAAAATGGGGGTGGGGCAGGATATATGACTAAACAAGGCTCATTCACTGTGTTCAAAGCATTATGTTCAATTAGATTCTACATGATTGCAGTCTGTAACCAGTATTATCCAGTGCTGTTCACTGGCTTAATATTGTGGTTGGCTAGTGGTACCTAAGGGCACTCTTCATCTGTTAAAAATAAGCTATTTGCCACTGTAAAAAGTGGTGTATGTCTTTTGTGAACTGAATCTGGGCTGTAATGTATGGCAAGATGGTTGAACATGTGAAAGAATACACACCAAGATTTTATAATAAAGCACTAGAGGCCTCGGTACATGTGTTGAGAATAAGAGAGAATTTATGTATCAGCTAGGGGGCATACATCTTGGAATGTATGCTCAGAATAGATGGGAAGAAGTAGCAAGAGAAGTCAATCCAAGGAGAATAGCCCCACTAACAAGAACGCAGTGCAGGGAAGAGTTTACTATCTTGTCAAGGTGATTGGGTTCAAACTTTAAATGGCATGGCTTACCAACTGTAGGTAATTGTAATAGTCTATCAGTCTGCTCTCCAATAATCACCAGAATTGCTGAGCCACCGCCCTGGAGGACTGCCATCGGTTTCATGATGCATGAATCTGTTGTCCTGTGTTGGAGTGACAACATTTCTGTTTTCACCTTTGCTGCTTCAGCAGATCAGCCCAAACGCTACAGTCCAGGCCAAGGTGGTATATTCTGAAGTCATGGTTGAGATTATCCTTCAAAATTGCCTGTATTTAAAGATGGAAAGTCATCCATCTCGCATGCTGCAACCATTGAAGAAACAACTTCTGCGAACACTCAATGTTGTGGGCGGCTAGAGGTAGTTAAAGGCAATCTTCACCTCTTAAAAGTAAGGTGTTTGTTGCTGTAAAAAAAGGTGTATGTCTTTCTGAATCTGTGCTGTAATGCATGGCAGCATGGTTGAGCATGTGAGAGGACACACACTCAAATACACAGAAGAGTCATTGAGGAAGTGCACAAGCTTGTTTAGTTTGGCCAGTTGAAAGACAAATCTCTCACAGCTGCCTGGTAGCTGTGAATAGCTGAATAGCTTTCAGGGCTCTTGTGGTGCAGTGTAGTGTCCTTACCTCTGAGCTATGTGATCCGGGTTCAAATCCTACCTGCTCCGGAGATGTGTAATAATATCTCTGAACAGAGGTTGATTAGGCAAATATCGTCAAATCACAATACTGTGAAACAACCCCAGAAAAATAAGGTAGAATTCAGGTCCACCTTTAGCCTTCACCTTTGATGGACTGCAATGCCATTAATGGGCTTTGCACATAAATTAATTAATTGGAAAACATGGGTGATTTACTGGTGGTGGTTTGTAGATGTAAAAATGCCACCGGTGATTTGGTGATGCAATGAACCATTGAGTTGTGGTAAGGACTTCTGGAATCTAAAATAAGAAAAATAAAATAGGATTCGGGAGTCAAGAAAGGGTTCTTGTGGCATAGTGGTAGTGCTCTACTCTTGAGCCAGGAAGTTAGTGTTCAAGTCCTACCTGCTCTAGAGGTGTGTCATAAGATCTCTGAACAAGTTGATTAAAATTATCTAGAATTGATGATTTGCATTATGACTCAAGTAATGTGTATTTGAAAACTCAGATTATTATTCATTTTTAAAAGAGTTACATGACTTCAATGAACCTGTAGTTGTAGAATTGCCAACACCATGATTCCTCCAGTGGAAATCATGCAAGGATTGTACTGTCATAAAGAACCACCATCGATTATGTGTAATAGATTCATTGTACCTTCCAATTCAGCAGAGGGCTGACCCCATTTCCATCCAACTTGATGTGCTTCAGGTTGCATTTGGTTAAATTCCATGATTCAGGGAGGAATACCATCAAATATTATTTGTTTACCATAAGATTTAGATAATTTACAACGCCATAATAACTTGAATGAATATATCATTCTTTACAATCAGGAAAAGATGTGGGAACAATAATACCTATTATTCAACTTAATTTTAAAAGCATACCGCTCCAAATTGAAAATTTGACTTTGAATATTAATTTTGTGTTAACATGTTGGATTTTAATATTATAGATTCATTTTATTAACATTGTGGAAAATGAATCTTTTTGCCATTGATCACAGTTATGGGCAAACGCTTCCAAATAACTAATGTGTAGCTTTTTTCCTTCCATATCCATATGACTATGCAAATAGTTTTTAGGCTTGTATGGTCCTCTTTTAATAACAATTCTTTGACATAATATTGGATTATATTCAAGTCATTCTCAAGGACCAGTATCTTATACCAAAAACCTGACACAATCTAAGAACCATTTTTAAAGCTTGATGCTAGGTCATAACAAAGCAAAATATAAAGCAGTAATACTTCATTAAGCTGCTCATGCCTGTTCTGCCATTTAATTAGATTGTGACTGATATGTATTATAAGTCCATTTGTTCATCTTGATTTCTATTTCGCATTACCTTTATCAAACAAAAACCTAACAATCATTTTCAATTAACCTGGCTCTGACCTGTGTGGGAAAGTTCCAGACTTTCACAAACTTCTGTATGACAAATACTTCCTGAATCACTTCGCTGTAAATTTAAGGTTTAGACCCCAGTTATGAAAATATTAATCAAAGGAAATAATTTAGCCCCATCTATTCTTTCATATCCTATTATTATACTGGGTATATAGCCAAGAATCTGGCCATTCAGTCCAAGCCAAAGTTTATGCTTCATTTGAGCTTCTCCCATCTTTCCTCTTCTAAATATATCATTATAAACATTTAATCCCTCATCCCTTAAATGTTTGTAAAGCTTCCCCTTAAATGCACCAATGCCTTCAGCCACTCTCTATGATAGCAAGTTCCACATTTTTACAGCCTTTTGTGTAAACACACTTCTT